GCCATGCAGCAATAGAGAATACGTCAGTGTTTAATGTAATAATGCTTATAGTAGTATTGCAGGGATAATGCATGTATGTGTAATAATCTTCAATGTTAGGGAGAATATTAAGGGCAGGGCTGATGGAGAACTGGGTTTCTCGGCCGTAAATGTGGGACTTAAAGCTGAATTGGACAAGTTATCCACCGAATGCGCGAAAGGGTCAGACCTAGAGGTGAACTACTACTCCACTGGCCTGCCAGACAAGCTTCCCATCAATATTGAGGGGCTCACCGAGCTGATTGAAAACTTTCCCTCAAGGATGAAGGACATAAATGCTGGGAAAGGAATCCCAGTCACGGTAAGAATTCTCTTTGTCTTCTAGTTTTGTCTCTTTAAATTACAAGCGTCGGAGGATTTGAACTTCGGTCATGATCGAGAACAAAACCAGCAAGTGGACACTAGAGTGAATTCGTACAACCCGTTTCTTATAATGCTAATGAGGCGCACAATATTGTTGAATGACCAGCTTTGGTTCTCACCGGCAATTCACCTCGGAAAGTACTGCTCTTTTCCAAAACAAATGGTAGTTATCTGAGTCAAGAATATTCTGTACAAGGCAAGAGTAGATCTTTCAATTATACTTGTCTTTTTGCTGATTTTTGCAGCCTTTTCAGTTACCACAGCCGGAAGGGAAAATTGCGGCATCAGTTGTTTGACAACTTTCAGTTTTTATGGTGAGGGAAAATCAGGCAGTTGAGGTGAGCTTTCCCCGGTATTTCAGATATTTGTACATTTCTTCAGGAGAAACACGAGTGAAACTCGGCGTTCTGTGTATGAAAAATCAGCAACCGACATGATTCCAAGAATTTGTAGCATTGTTCAGTTTGGTGTGTGCCTTCTCCATTGTTCTTGTCATTAGCATTTAGCGATTTTCATTAACTTATAAGAAACGAATTATACGAATTCACTCTACTGAGCGGAACTCGAGCCCAGGATCGCCGAACTGCGAGTCCTATCTCGGCCACGCTGCCTACTCAAAGCCACTACGAAACAGAGAAGTATTTTGTCTTGAATTAATAGTACACAATAGTGCTTTCCTGTAGCCATTCTTTTCAAATTGATGAGTCATTTCTCATGTTTTAGCTGCTAATCTGAAATCAAACTACTCATTCATGTCTCAGGTAAAGTAGGCAACATTTATATCTAGATGTACTAGAATTATAAGGTCAAAAGTATCTCACCAGCGCCTTCTGTTATTCTGGGGCCGGCCTTTAATGTGCGGTTAGACTTATTTTTAATTGCTTTTAATATTCAGTAATATTTTATCGGGATTCAATTTTTTTTCAACATACCTTTTTTTATTCTCGTGAAGGGCGCTTTCTATTACTATTGTTTTATTTAAAACTTACTGACATAAAAAGAAAAAAGGGTAAACAAGTTCGTATAATTCATCCAAAAACTGCATTTAAGATACTCACAGTTGTTGAGATGAGGTGATCTCGTGGTCGTAAGAGAGGTTTAACTGTATCTCTTTCAATCTTCCTTTGTAGTTTGAGCTCTTGCCAGTTACGGATATCATAAAAAGTGCAAAACCACCATTACAAGAGAGAGTAGAAGCATATGAACTGGATGACTTAGGTAACCGCTTTGATGATCTTTGTAGCGCCTTGGAACCTGCCAATAAATACTTGATGAATGAACACGAAGCTCCAAACGACGTTTTTCAGTTCCTCAAGGAAGCCACAGAAGTGGATCGTGCAATAAAGAGAGCCATCTCTAGTTTGGGCAGCACGGATGAAAAGAAACTGCTAAAAGAAAGCATTGATGCGTATGACAAAGCCTTGGGTGGACTGCCTTTCATCGGCAAGTTTTTTTGGCAGTGGAAGAACATTTACAGAGGAAAGGTTCGTAACTTATTAAATTGTTTTGTCAGCTAAGAAAGAAGATACGCTCGGAAGCAGAGTCAATAAGGAGCTTTAACAACGACGACAGCCACGGGAGCTGAAACATAAATTTATAACAAATGAAATCACGTTTTTTCAAACTTTGTCGCGGTATGGCCAATACCAAGCACTTCGTTCATGCGCACAGTCTTATATCACCCGAGCAGGGACAGCCATTGCGACTTTTAAGTTCGCATATTAAATGCAATTTTTTTTCTCACTAAATTGTGCGTAAGTGTCAATTAGATTGGAAACAAAACCTGTTTTTGGACAACTGTCAGAAAAAAGTTCCTCGAAGGTCGTCAAAGCATTAACCTCCTTCTGCTGAAGCAAGTTCACGCGCTTTCGCGCACCCGAATTCCCCCTTCCTCTTTACCTTTTAACACCTGCCACCCAGGCTATCCTTTAACTAGCCATGTGGTAGCTGGATACTCGGCGCCAATGCGTGTAGATTGTGGTTCACTTTGTAGCGTTACACTGGCTTGTGAAAGTTCTAAGGGGAGGAGAAGCCACAAAACACAAATCCGCGATATGGCCAGTACTTAGCGAATGTGCACTCGATTATATCACACCGTAATTTTTAGGAAGTTATTATAACTCCAAAAATGGAGTAAAAATTTTAGGTACAGGATAACCCCTTTTTGGGGGTTATTTTAACTCCTAATTTAACTCCGAATTTGGGGTCATTTTTACTCCTGAAAAAGAGTTCTTTTTACTCCCAGTCTGGAGTTAAAATAACTCCGAAATGGGGTTACTTTTACCCCTTACATGGATGTTTTTACTTTTTTTGGAGTTAATTTAACTCTGAAAGTGGAGTAAAAATTTTAGGTACAGGATAACTCCTTTTTGGGGGGTTATTTTGACTCCTCAATATCTGGGGTCACTTTTACTCTTGAAAAGAGTTCTTTACACTCCTTTTTGGAGCTAAAATAACTCCCCAAAAAATAACTTCACTGTAAGGAGTTGAATTAGCCCCACTAGAGGGGTTATTATAACTCCTTGAAATTTACTGTGCACAAAAGTAAAGGCAGCCATGGCACAAATATGGGCGAAACATCTGTCTGTGGCTCTCACTGCTTGAATGGGTGATATGGCTGTGCGCATTCGTAAGGTACTGGCTATTTGTAATGTAACGCTCTCATTTGCGACAGCTCCTTCAAATGACTTCACTACTCTTGTGAATCACCACTCAGTTGAAGCCCACCCACAGGTATGAGGCAAACAATAATCTTATCATTTTTATTTGCAGACACCAACCAAGGAAAAAGAGGTAAAAAAATGTCTTTAGTTTTGTTTTATCCTCTCTTGCATCGTGTTTTACTCATAAGGTCGAGCGTCAGCATACAAGATTCGATGCCTGGTATACTAATGCCCCAAAGAGAAAATAGGGTCGACTTTACGATCCGATGGCGTGATGCATATTTCAACGAGAATGTCATAAAAAAAAATAGGTTTAAGAAGGCAAGACAACAACTTTGCACGTGTATCAAAGTTTTTTGTACATTCCTTCGCCTAATTNGGGGGGGGGGGGGGGGGGGGGTTCGCCTACTTTTGATAAAAATGCGTAAGAATAATCGCGATATATAAAGACTAAAAGAACGTAAATTCATCTTTTAAGCCACGTTTTCGCTGCCATCGCGTAGTCGGATCGTAAAGTCTCTAAAGCGTCGTCTATGAAGGGATTCCAAACTGTAGGTTTATAGTCACTGAGACGGTTTTGCTTTGTGCTTTTATTTCTGCAACTTAGTTGTAATTTCACCGCCTCCAGATGGCTCTCTAGGGCTACAGATGGCTAAACTGGAGGACTCCAGTCAGGTTAAACGTAGGAAGCGTGAACATCTCCATTTTGTCCATGAAACATGTATTTACCCTGACCCTGTTTAAGAAAAAAACCCATTCTTTTTGTAATAATATACACTCTGTTTAAGACGAGGGACCTTTTCTCATGAATCTGTCTTGCTTGGTATACAACCATTACAGAATCTTTGAATCTTTGAATCTTTCTTTATTCACACTATATAAGGCATTTACACAAGTGCTCGTAAGCAGGAGAACAAAGTAGTTGATAAAAAAACCATTAAGGTAAAAGACATTAAGTTTATTTGTGTACAGTGTCCAAAGTAGCAAGAGCTTTCTTGTTGGACACCGTCATGCTCAGATGATGGGCAGCAGCAAGAGAGAAAATAAAAAGTGTTTTAAACTACTCACTGGCTTTAAACTAAGCTTTTCATCATCGAATTAGTCGAACTTTAAGCCGCCTCCTACAGTCGAGAAGACGGCTTGAATTTAGTCCACACCAAATATGATTCTTTTCACAAAAAATGTTGGTACCACACCCGTGGGTTGCCGGCACCGCTTAAGTGCCATGTAATGTAATTAGTAAAGTCAACTCTCGCCTTGCGGACACCCCGATAAGGACAGCAGCTAAATCCTAGGAAAAAATAAATTAGATATGTTTGATTGAAATAAACTCCTGCTATTACGGACTCTCGCTAATGAGGACACTAACTCAAGGTCCCTATAATGTCCGCTATAAAGGGAGTTACTGTACAGCCAACACTTGTCAAGGTTCCCGATCCAGATTGACAGCCTTTTTAAATCGCTTAAAAGGGAAAACTGTAATTATTATACGTCCTTAAGACTGGAGACCCCGAAAACCATACCCTGTTCAATTCAGTGGTAATCAGTCTAAGCCAAATATAATTCTGTATCCAGATAAGGACGAGCCCCCAAGCTTTTTGCTTTTACTTCCAACCGGAATATAACTGACGACAAATCAAACTATGATTGTTCTTTTAAGAATGCACTTTAGGGGTTAACGGGGCTTTCTGCAAGCGTACCTTAAACCTTAAACCCTACGCCTCTGTCTACGGAAACACTTTTGAGTTATTCGGCAGATGAGTTCTCCAAAAATGCACTTAAGTAGTAGATTTTTTAAGATTTTGTTTTTAAGTGACTACGTATGGGTTTTTTATGCAACAGACCGTAAGGCTGTTGCATATTAAAGACTTGTTGCAAGTTACTGTATAAATATCACCTGGAGCCTTTCATAGAAGTCCAGTAAGTCTACATATTATTCACACTAAGTTGCACAAAATTTTCTCAATAACACAGGAACAGTTAAATCAAGTGCAAGTGGAGTTAAGTAACATACAAAAGAAGTTCGAAGAGGCCATAAGAAAGCTTGAGGAGAAGATTAATGTGCTAGAGATGAAAATACCGTCTTCTGGAGGAAACGATGGTCCCTTTACGTGGAAGATAGGCAGCTTTAGCGAACTCTTAAGAAAAGCTAAAAGCGGAGAGCAAACCGATCTTTACAGTTCTCCATTTTACAGATATGGTTATAAATTTAAGTTACTTATAAGCCCAAATGGCCAAGGCGATGGAAAAGACACTCACTTGTCGATATTCATAATTATAATGAAAGGTGAATACGATGCCACTTTAACTTGGCCTTTTAATAAAAACGTGACATTTACCTTGATTGATCAACAAGAAGATGCAAATGCCAGGGAAAACATTGCTGAATGCCATAACGTTGACCCTTCGCTTAAAAACTTTGCCAGGCCGGTGGAAGACGAGAACACGGGGCGGGGCTATCCTACATTTGCATCCCAAGAAAAAATACAAAAAAGGCGCTACATTGTAGACGACACTATTTTTATTCAGGTTCAAATAGCTTCACCATAAAAGTTGCGATTTTTTGAACTAAAATCCGGATTTGTTGTTAAAACCCCTAACCTATAACCGGCCGTTGAATGCTATTTTTTTGTATCAGCTCAATAATAATCGTACGACACCCACAGCTTTCATTTGCCTGATTTTGTGCTATACACAAAATGCAGAGTTGTACTTTTAGAGAAACGAGTTTTCGAAGAGATAATTTTAATCAATAGAAACATTTTACGAAAGGTTTGAATCTCCTTGATTGTGTTTTGTTTGATTGTTTGTTTTGAACTGGACAGCTTCTGATCAGTGAATCTTCGAATAAGCCCCCTTATGTCATTAGCTGATATCTTAGTGAAATAAAATATGTTCATAATTTTCTTTATTTAATCAGACTATCCTCATATAAAAGATTAAAAATTAGTTTTTCAAGTTCCTACTACTGTGACAGTCAATAGGAACGGAGTTTGAAAAGTTATAATGTCAGAGATACCTAGCGTGACATAGCATGCTATATAATACACCTGAGTGCAAATTACAATAAAAAGTGTGATAAAAAGAGAAGACTGGTGTACTCATTGTTTAGAGACAATTCTTAAGTTCCAGACCTATTTTTGTGTGCTTGCATTATTTTTTTCTTATTTACAGTTAGTTATATCAGATCTAAGAAAGTTGGTTCCACTGATTAAGGGGGCTGAGTCACGAGGGTCGTTATGAGGTAGTAGCTTTAATTTGACAATTGACTGTTAATTTTTCAGTTCCATTTTTTCCTTAATGCTGTTAATGTAAAGACATATTAAAAAACGGAAACCTTTCAGTACACACATTTCACCTCTTGTCACCCGTCTAGTGTTAAAAAAAGAATCCTACGAATAAACCCCTCAGAAACTACGTTTAAGGAAAATATTCCAATGTCAAAAAACGCTTGATTGACAAAAGGTACCGACAAACTTTGATAGAAAACCTTCTATCGGAGATAAAATTCATAGAGAGGGAGTCTGCACTCCTGAAACACGACAAGAAAGAGGAAAAAGAAATATTACCTTTCATGACACAGTACCAGCCCTCAGTGTCTACTTTTAAAGAAGCTGTAATGAAAAAATGGAATCTTAAACAAGACCAACCGCTACTTTGCCAAATTTTTAAAGAACCACCTATCATTTCGTAGAAGAAAGGAAAATCCCTAAAGGACATGCTCGTTAGAACTAAAATACAAAGGATTAACACAGGGTTTCACGCCGGTATGGATATGCAGTTAGTGTGCGGCCTGTCACCCCTTGCATTTTCTCAAATCACGTCCTTGTAGTCATTCTCGTCCTTGAATCTAAAAGTGTATCATAAAAAAGCGATAGCTTCTCCAATAAAGGCCCATACATTTGTTCCTTATCACACCAAACCAATCTCACGCGCAATCTCAAAGTAAACTATATGAAGTCATTCTAAAACGTCACCATCTTATAATTTGCAAATAAACATAGAACGAGAATCACTTCCTCTTTCCGAAGTCGCTCGCGGTCACTTATCTGGGGATTTGAGTTAATTACCAGGGAAAGCGGTGGGGAAGGGACCACACACCTCTCCAGATTTTCACCTATTATCCTCCACTGGCAGGAAGAGGCATCACTGAGGTTTATGCATTACTACGAGTGTTGTAAAAATAAAGTCAATCTGACTATTCATGGTTGTCAAGACTCACAATGAACTAGTAAATAAAATGTACGTAATTGTCACTCGTGTAATGTGTTAATTGTAGATAAGGCGCAAAGCTAATATTGACTCCTGTTTAAAGTGCTTGTAAAACTTGGTGGTCTGTGCTATTTATTGTTCCTCACAAGTACTAAAACAAACGTTACCCATATCAAAAAATGTCAGGACCACAGAAGTACATGCCATCTTTGTAATAAAAAGATAAAGAACCTCTCCTAAGGGAGCAAGTGTCTGATGTATTGACCTAGCGATAGGCCTCGGTCTGAGATTCCCTAAAATGACGGTGAGTGGGGTTGTCTTTACCCGCAGGCGGATCGAGTCAGATCGCGACCGGAAATGGGCGCAAGGAACTTGATCAGTGGTACGGGAAGTAAGGGGTTAACAGGAGCGAGCGGGTTGAAGATATTGGTAAACAGACTCGATTGGATCCGATGGAGACAGCTCGTCCTGGCAAGAATCGACCGGAATCACAGGACGTCAGTTCGCTACGGACTTAAAACATCTTTAAGCCATAAAGCGAAACAAGTGGGCTACACATGTAATATACGTCGTTCTTTATATAATTAAACGATGAGGCGAAACAAGCGCGCTACACATGTAATATAGGTCTTTTTTTAACCAAGAGATGAAGCACGCTACACATGCAATATGCTAGTGATGCGAAACAAGTGCGTTACACAAGTAATATTGTTAGATCTTTTTCTTTTTTAATCAAGAGATAAAGCGCGCTACACATGCAATATGGCAGTGAGGCGAAATAAGTGCGTTACACATGTAATGCTGCGTTCTAAAAGGTAGAGGCAAAACAAGTACGCTATATGCGCAATATAACTCTCGTTCTTAAAGATACCCGGAGGCTAAAGAAGAGCCTACACTTAAAATATAAGTTGTTCATGAAGCAATGGGTAGAACCCAACAGACCATGCGGGCATGAACCTCTCTTTTTGAGGCATGAGGCGAAGCAAGCGATTTGAAATGGACTGCCGGTTACATCATGAAAAAACGGATTCATGCTCTTTTTAAAGGCAGGAGAACGGTAAGGGGAAAAAAGAAATGCTGCAATAATCTGGGGCTATAAATAAGATTAAACATTAGATCAATGGAATAGCATTTAAGTGAAATGTGGACTCAGTTTGAGTGTTACGTATTGGACAACCTTTCGGACACGTGCAGAAAGGTTCTGGGGTCCAAATTGAGCGCGAGGTGAGGTGCGCGCGCCATCAAAAACATGCGTCTATGACGTTAGCTTTTAATTCTGCAACAATTCATGAAGGATGAAGTGGAAAACGTTATTTTCACTGGTGCTTCTTGCCCTAGTATTGTTAAAAATCAAAATTTGTAACGGTAAGAGTGGCCCTCCCTTTGTGGACTTCACTTAATTGTGTTAATGTGCAAATGTAGTTTGTTGGCATTTTGACTGCGTTTATTTTGTGCATTCTTTTTTCCTTGAATAAAGCTAGCAGAGCATCGTCTATTGGATGGCGAATTTTAAAAACGTTTCTTTCTTTAAGGTGTTTCGATACAGTTTTTCAGAGGCCATACCGATATTTTTCAATCGCCTTAAAGGAGTTTTTTTCCTTGTCCGATCGCTATAAAATTTTCACCAGTAATTGGCTATGGATTGAAATTTGTGAAAATGCAGTTTTAAGTAAAATCGATATTACTATGACAACAATAAACAAAAAACTTTGAAATCGATAAAAGCCGAATTTTGTGTGATCTAGACCAGCTACCAGCTACTAGCCAATTACTGGTGAAATTTTTATAGCGATCGGACTAGGATAAAAACCTCTTGTAAGGCGATTGAAAAATATCGGTATGGCCTCTGAAAAACTGTATCGAAACACCTTAAGCGCAAAAATTGCACAGCATATGCACGAAAATTATTCCGCACTATCTTACCCCTTGCAAAAATTTTCAGCAGGGACAAAGTCCGTTTCTGCGGAGAAAGACAATGAGGAGTCTATAACAACAGGTAAAGAACGAGGAAACATCTATCCCAGAAATAAGAATAACATCTTTACCATGCGCAAGCTTGCAATGCGAAGATTGGCCAAAAGGCATAAAACTGGTGTTTCAACTCCTACTAGAGTAAGACCTTCAGCTTCGTCAACATTCGAGCGAGTGCGACAACCATTTGCTACAGGCAAGAAATATTTTTAAATGTATCTGGTAACTACCTAGAACAGTTTTTCATATTTCGTTTCCAACTTTCTCAAGGCAGTAACTTTAAGACTGAAATGCTTGGGTTTTGACGTTGATTGGCTATTGTTTTATCCACCTTACAGTTGTTTTTTTGGAATTTTTCTCTTGAGAGGAGTATAATAGACCTTTTAAATACAAAAGAAAATTTGCTTTAATTTGTAACCACCACTTTAGGTTTTAATGCATCAGCTAGACGTTAATAGCGAGACCAAAAAAATGCCCCGGCCGGTTGTTCAAAAGATGGATAGCGCTTTCCATTAGATAAAACTATAACCAAGGGATAACGCAACTGGTTTTCGTACTATTTATATTCACTGGATAATTATTTTTCCGGCAGATGTAGCGCTATCTACGTTTTGAGTAGCTGAGGACTGAATGGGAACGTTTGTCATACCGGTTTGTCTGTTAAAGCGACCTCATTTCCGGGCAGGATATCATAAAAGCGCCTCTTGATGAGTGTTATCCAGAACCAAAAACGCTAAGAGGTGGCTTATTTTTCCCTTGTTAACATGATATCTGCGTTTTTATACTTCCAGAAGTACCAATCCAGAGAAAAGTTAAACTACTCGTGATCTTAACACCCTTACCGACACCAGACGAGGACAGGTTCTTTTCGAAGACAATGGAGAAGGTGCTGGCCATGGTTCATCAAAATTCAATACTCAAGCTAAAGACAAAGGCGATACAAACCACGATCATTCAGAGCATACGCAAGATATTCCTAAACCCCGAATAACAGAGCACGACCGCCCAACACAAGGTGGCACCAACTCTAAGGCGCATCAGCACAAACCAAGCGCGCATTACGAGATGCCATACTCAGGCCTCCGTTGGATTGTGTACCATCTCAGGACTGGGGATCAAAACGAAAACAAAAAACGTTACAAGAAGAGAAAGAAAAGAGCCGCACCTCAGCAAATTGATGACGATAGGGAGGAGCTTGTTGCTGATGAAGACGATGGAGAAGAACAGTCAAGATCTGTCAATTTTGCATTGGTTGGTGCTGGTATAGTGGTGTTCCTGTTCATATTTGCCGGACCGGCTTGTCTGTGGTATGTTGCTTTGATTTTCCAATTAAAGAGACTTTTCTCGTTTGTGTGATCGATATAATC